AAAGTTCCTCATGAAAGTCCAGCTTTGTTGAATTCAGAGGTAAACATTTATCGTGAATTTGGTTTGGAATTTTCTGATTAGCCCTCTACTGCTCATTATGTTGTCATCTTTAAACCTCAATATCAAATAAATAGTTAAGATGATGAATGGAGCTCTGTGGTAAAATCAATGCAGTATGTTTGAGCCTCCCTTTTCCAAACTGTGTTTAGTTTCAGATAATATTAATAGAATGATATTATACTTTACTATATATTTTTATTTATTATACTTTAGCACAATATGTTTATGTCATTATATTAAGTTCTTTGTTAATGCTGTCTCTTGTTTTAGAAAATAGTGTTGTTATTGTGCGCATTTGTTATCCTTTTTCCTATGAATGTTTATGTTGGGATTTCTTACTCTGTTGAGTGTGTAAAAGTAATTAGTTTGTTATCCTATTTACTTAGAGTGGGGCAATGCTTTTGGCATTGTTGAGAAATTTATATTCCATCAGGCTTAGTTTAAATTATTTAGTGCTTAAGATGATCTATGTTGTGCCGGGAACGACCTGTGGGATTTTGTAATCAAAGATGGGAGCCTAAATGAAAAATCTACTCATTATGAAATCACTTAATCCAAAGTTTCCTCTTAGTGCAATTCCGTGCTTGTGTTATCTTAGTTGAGGAGTTTGAAGTGCTGTTCTTGGACCATCTGATGCAGAACTTCATTTTCTAAAACAGAATGTTTCTTGTTTAAAACACAAATATGGTGAAGAAGGCCACCAGTGTGGGAACTTTTGAGATTATCAGTTGTAAGGAGGTACAGGAAAATCTAGTCTCTGGGTTTGCATTGGTGTGGGTTTTTCCCTCCCTCAGAAGTATGATTCTGAGCTTGTAAAAAATCACTACCTTACTGATAATTGAAGGAATGGGTATTTGCGTAATTTTATGGTCATACAGACTCTCTCTATGCATACTTAATGCGTTGAGTAGGACTATTCTCTTACTAACTAGCTCCCTTCTTTCAACAACTTACTGTAACATACAAAAGCACTTCCTATTACTTACTCAATGCACCTAACATAAACTTAGCCAAATGTTTGATTAATTATATGTGAATTGCTTTCCCTTATTGTAACTAATGTGTTGGCTTTTAGGTATTCATGTAGAGCTGTCACAAGGGGTTAGAAATAGTGGTAATTGAATTACTTAGTCTGGACATTATTTTCGTAATAAGAGTTGTGTACATGCCATGTATGCTAGTATGCTCATTATTTGATTCTTTCCAAAATAGTTTGACAACATATCTTTCCCTTTTAAAGTATATAATGTCAATGGTATTCTGTTTTGTTCCTCTTCTGGCAGTTTGATGAATTATCACTTATTTGGGGAAAACCACGCCAACCCCCTCTAGGGTTTGAAGAGGTATGAGCTGTTGTTCTGTAAGATGTTCTTCAATCATACAACTCCTTCAGTTTTTTCTTTTCGGAAATGCATATCTTTCTTATCATGATGATGGGTGTGCAAATGGCTATATGCTACTGTTTCAACAAGTTGGGGATCAAATGGTGGATGTACGGCATCAAAGTCTCAATTTTTACGCCAAGTTCACCAGAAGCCTCATTATGTCTTCTTGGTTGACATGATTTACGTTAAAGATGTTCTTTTCATCATCTTATGTTTATTTAATGTTCAAATGATTTAACCAGGTATAAACTAAACTCTGAAAAAAAATTACGTCCCCCTATATTCTTATATGAGGCATATGAAGGAAATAAGAACAGTCGTTTCGTGATTTCTATGTTAGTCTGTTGACCTCCCTTATTTTAATCTCAAAACATGAAAACTTAGCATTAAAGTGGCTGAGATATTTATTGTGTGTATATTTGATTGTATGCATATAAATTAGCTAGCAAAGGATAAATAAGATAGGAATATTGTTGGGTTCACCAGCTGAACATGGTCAGGTTCCCTGTCTATATATAGTCATAATTTGGTGAAAGGTAGGACAGCTAATGTGGACTAGCCTAATTGTATATACTCACCCTCAGCCAATTGTAAACTTCCCTTTGAAAAAAGTACTATTCCCCTTATATTCTCAAATGAGGTATTTTAAGGAAATAATACGAGTTAATTTTATATTGTTCGTAGTCATTTCTATAATAATCTGTGGACCTCCCTTATTATAGTCTCAAAACTTGGAAACATAGCAGTAAGTAGCTGAGATATCTATTGTGTGTATTTGATGTTATGTGTGTAAATTAGCTAGTGAATAATAAAGAGATAGGAATATTTTCGTGTTCACCAACTGAACATTGCCAGGCTCCATGTATGTCTATTTACAGTCATAAAACTTGGTCAAATGTAGTGCAGCTAATATGGACTCAGCCCATAACTGTTTATACTCACCCTTAACCTAGCCATCTAATTATTTCATCAGGAATCATACATGTCTTTTCTTCGTCTTGACATAGGATAGCATCAAAATATTCTCTGGATGAAATTTTAATCAATATATGATTCCTAAGTGTGTTCTAAATATTGGTCTTATTTATATTCTGTTTCCATTATTTTATAAATGTGGAGGCGTTAAGTAACAGTAATATATGACAACTATGATGGTTTTCCTCCCTAAACGAAAACTTACTGAGCCTTAAATTTGAATTGAAACATAGTATGAAACTTATGTAAAGGTTTATTGCTGATGATGCAACTCTGGTACATATTTATTTCAAGCTACTGTATGCCAGTTGCTGCTTGTTACCTGGAAACTGACTGGTGACTTTCATTGCTTCATCACCTTACAAGCCAGAGATAAAGCTACAACTATTTTTGTCTGATTATCATTAATGATGAGGAAGTCATTCGTGCTATTCCATTAAGCAATGCTGCAAGAGTTATCCTGGAAGTTTGCGAATGTCATTTGCCTTAATGCTTATAGATCATACTTTTGCAGTGGATTACTTTTTTGGACTCTGAAGGACGAGTTACAGACTTAAAGGCTTTGAGAAAGAGGATATTTTATGGTGGACTTGATCACAAATTACGAAAGGAGGTTTGTTTATTATTTTTATGTAATGAGTTCCCGTGTTCAACGTTGAGGTCGAGTTCAGACCTGAAATCTAAAGCTAATTAGTCATAAAGATATGCGTGATGTGAACGAGCAGGAATTGCTAATTGCTTCCCTAAGAATTTTGTTTCCAATTAAATATGTTGTCCTCTCTTTATATTAATAGGTTTGGGGTTTGCTGTTGGGTTACCATTCACATGATTCAACATATGCTGAGAGGGAATATCTGAAGTCTCTCAAGAAGTCAGAGTACGAGACAGTTAAAAACCAGTGGAAGGTTTTCCTTTTATCCTGTGTGCTTTTTCGTTCATTCACTTCCTTTTCTTCATTCTTACTATTCAATTAAGCGCATCTTTCTAAATTTTAAAAAAGGAAGTTATGTGATTGTATGGGGGTCAGTCTATTGTTCTTTTTATCTCGTCAGTTATAGCATGTTATCTTGATTTGATGAACCGGTCTACATCGTTGGTACCTAGTCCTTCAGGTATCCCAAGTCCTTTTGATGTTTGCTGTCCTTTCTTTCTCGTAATTTTCATCAATGTACATTGCAGGCGTTTGGATCTAGAAAAGTCTTGTTATTCAGTGTCCTCAACTAAATATTTACGTCAAAGTAAACTTGTTTATGTATTTCTCTTTGTAGAGCATTTCGTCAGCACAAGCTAGAAGATTCACAAAATTCAGGGAAAGGAAGGGCCTTATAGAGAAAGATGTGGTAAGCTGGAAACTAGTGCAAATGTTTCTGAATTATTGGAAGTTATGAGAAAGAAAAGCTGAGTGATGCTTTTTCTAGTTGTAATGTATAACCATCGTTTTCCCCCTTTATTATAAAGGTAAGGACGGACAGATCAATTGGTTTCTATGATGGGGATGACAATCCAAATGTGAATGTTCTACGAGACATACTATTGACATATTCATTCTACAACTTTGATCTTGGTTATTGTCAGGTAAATGGTTGTTGATACTGGACTCTGGCCTTGAACTTGCTTCGTTTTAGTTGTTCTAAGCACTATTTTTCTCTTAATCCTTTTCAATGGTCATCAGATAGGAAAATTTTTTTATTATTTTTTAAATGATTTAAAATCAGAAATCCTGTTTGATATCTTCCAAAATGTTTTTCAGAAACTGTGAAATGATAACTTCTGATATGTGTGTTTGGTCTTCCTGCTAAAAACAGAGCTTATAATAATAGATTAATTGCAGCCATGGTGGAAATGTCGTGTAGATACGATGTTTCCAAATCAAAGTAAATTCTGATACCTGGAATCAATAGACGAGGCTCCTCCTTATTTATCATCCTGTACTACTCTTCCTCTTCCCACTTCTTCACCAGAAAAAGTTCTTATATTCTAAGAGTAACACACGCATATGTAGAAATTATAATAATGTTTCTATCATAAATTGCCAAAGGTAGTATTAGAGGATATCTTTTAAGGGCTATTTTCTGATGGCATGCAGAATATATGGGTTGAATCGTAGGGGATTAAATGTCTATTTCTTAGCCATCATTATTAGCCGTAATCTTGAATATATGAATTGATAGTTTGATACAAAAGCATTGTTCATTCATCTGTTTCTTCCCTCTGGTTCAACACGTGACAGCCACAATTTAAATGATGTTTTACAGGGTATGAGTGATCTTCTGTCCCCTATCTTATATGTAATGGATGATGAGTCAGAGGCATTTGGGTGTTCGTTGCTTTAATGGAACGTCTTGGACCCAACTTTAATCGTGACCAAAATGGCATGCATTCTCAACTTTTGCATTATCTAAGGTCTCTCTCTCTCTCTCTCTCTCTCACTCACTCTCACTCACACAGAGTGCAATGTATGCTGCGAAAATTGTTTTAGATATAGTAAAATTTTGTACCTATTATGTATTAATAGGTTGTGCTCCTGGCTCTGGCATGATTCGCTGTTCAGCTAGTTTACCAAGATTCCCAAGTTGTCTAAGAAAAAATCGTTTTTTTTTTTTTTTTTTTTTACATATAGTCATCATGCCTTACCAATATTGTATTTCTATATTGCAGTTGGTGGAGTTGCTAGATGGTTCTTTACATAACTATTTCAAGCAGCACGACTGTCTGAATTACTTCTTTTGTTTCCGCTGGATTTTAATTCAATTTAAAAGGTCAGGTTTATATTAATTTCTACATTGTTGTTTTTCCAGGGAATATCTGGCGTTTATTGTGGTCTGCCCCCACCCCCCCCCCAACGTATGATTTCAAAATTATTTTACCATAGCAGCGCAAAAAGACTAGTTTGACTGTCATTTATCGGGCGTAGCTTCAAGTTTTCTGCAATCTCAGCTGGTTTCCTTTTCAGATCTGTTTTTAGGGAGTGCTTACTTGGGAGCTCCTTCCTGAAATATTTTCTTCGCGATGACTTTCTCTTCCATTTCTTGCTTGGCGGTTCTGTTTGAATTAATTGCTGAAGAGTCAATATTGGATTTGTGATTAGCTGATTGTGGTCCAAGTCATCTGTCATGCTAAATTTTTTTAATATGTTTATGCTTTAAATATTATCTTCCTTTCCTTGAAGGATGTACCATTATGCAGTTTGAATCCTCTAGAGCTTTTTTTTTTTTTTTTTTTAAATAAATTTTTAGTGATGAAGTTTTTGTGAAGTTCTGAGAGAAGTGAGATAGGATGGACTACGAAAAAAAGAAAAAAGAGGAAGTGGGCCTCATCTACACTTCCGCTCTTTGTATCTCTTTCACCAAACTGAGATTCAAAGGATTCTAGAAGATCCTTACGCACACTTCGCTACTTGATAAGTTTCCCATACACACCCCAACTGTAGACAAATTATTATTATTTGGTTTTTTATCCGAGGGGCGTTTGATTCTTTCATTATTTGACCCCTGAAGTGCTTGACGTCTTGCAGACCCTTTTACTTTCGGAAGGTTACATCATTTATCAGTTTGGTCGCTGATTAGAAAATGGAACCAAATTTAGCAAAACCATCAGTGAAAGACTGCCGTTAGTTGATTAACCAAGGATCTTGCATTGGCTTGTCTCAGAAATATGTATTTGCAATACTGATTTGTTATCAAACAATAGTAAAATTGAAGTTTGGTTTCACATTACAGGGAGTTTGAGTACGAAAAGACTATGCGATTATGGGAAGTCTTGTGGACACATCATCTATCAGAGCATCTGCATCTGTATATGTGCGTAGCAATCTTGAAACGTTACCGTAATAAAATAATAGGAGAGGAGATGGACTTCGACACACTGTTGAAGTTCATAAATGAGCTAAGTGGTCAAATTGACCTTGATGCAACTCTCAGAGATGCCGAGGCTCTCTGCATATGTGCTGGCGAGAACGGCGCGGCCTGTATACCGCCCGGAACACCTCCCTCACTGCCAATTGATGATGGCTCGTTATACTCTCAGCAAGATGATGAAGTATTGTGAGTGAATAAATCACTTTATACAGAATTATCTCGGTGATGACCATCAATGTCGTGCTTGCTTCTATGTGTAATTATTGATTCTGTAGTTGAGATGATTTTGACATGTTATAGTGCATTTTTTAATGATTCCTTTCATATGTACTTGATGGCTGATTTCCTTGACCCATGTTATTGTTAATCTGGGAGCTAGGTGGAATGTTCTTTTCAACAGACAGAACCAGGAAACCACTTTTTTCGCTGCACAAGGGATGAAAAATTCTAGTTTAAATACTTGGGTGATCAGAGCTTGTTGGGCATACCGTTCATTGGGCCCGACCTGGCCTCTTTGGGTTGCAAAGTTATTAGTTCGAGGTGAAGAAATGTGTTTTGAGTAAAAATAGGTAACCGTTGGCCCAAGGAGAGGAAAAAATTAAAAAAAAAAAAGTAATCACATAGTGTCTCGAATATAATTATTTTTAATATGTGGACATGGCTTGCCAAAAAAAATAAAGCTGGTTAGATTGAAATCCGGATTTCGAAGTTTTCAAAACTGACTTTTCTTTTCCTTAGTGAAAATAACTTCTTTAATATGCTGTTTATGAAACTCTTTTAATTTTAAAAAATAAGCAAGACTTGCATGATCATTTATCAATCACTACTCTTAATATGACGGTTACAAAGTTAAAAGATCATTTGATAAACGATGGAATTCTGCCAACAATTGTAAACAAACGAATAAATTTATCTTAGATATCTTAATAACAAAAGTCAGCATGCTAATCACAATTGAAAAAAAGTATCAATCCATTTATTTTCTAATATGGTGTTTATATTTTAATGTGAATTATAATGAATTTCACCATTGGTGATTAAAATATATATACACATAATACACTCGAATTTAATTATTTATTAAACAGTATAATTTTACTTTTAAAAAATCTTAAATATTCATAATGAACTTGAAATTGCTGATTGACTTAATGAGTTAAGGTCTGAATACATGGATAAATATCTTTAAAATATAAAATAGTTCATATATTTTATATGATATCAAAAAATTGTATACATTGAGATACGCTGGTAGATCATTTAACCGAAGAAGAATAGATTTTTGATCATTTAGCTTCACGTGGAGCTGTTTTTATCTGGAGATATAGATAATTAGATATATAAATAAATGTACTGCTAATGAAAATAAAAATATAAGATTCGGGGAAAAGGAAAATAAAAATGTGTTTTGCTTTCATAATTTAATTTCTGCGGATTTTTTAGTCTTCATTTGGTTGTTTGAGAGAATTTCAAATTAGTATTTAAATTTTAAAAAAGTTAAAATAAAAAAATATTTTTAAAAATTATATTAAATAATAAAAATTGAAAAAAAAAATATAGAATATAACACGTCATAGGTTGGATAAATTTCATCAGACTACTTTACAGAGATCAAATAAATTTTCAGAACCAATATATATAGTCTTTTGACCTATATATATATATATGTATGTATACATATAAAATCTAATTCTTTGCAGTCATTTAATTTCCAATAAATCTCTTTTTATCTGGACTCATAGATAATTGAATATATAAATAGATGTATTGCTAATGAGGGTAATAATAAAATCGAAGTATACAAGGGGAAAAGGAAAATAAAAGTGGTTTGTTTGGTTAATTATTTAAGTAATTACTCCTCCGGTCCTTATTATAAGACCCAATTTGACTTTTTATTTGGTCCTAATTATAAGACCCAATCCATTTTCTCTCTTATATTTATGCATTTTTTTCCAAGATAATCCTTCTAATAATGATAGTTTTAGCCAATATACTTAATTAGCAAGGATATTTTAGGAATAACAACACTTATTTATTATAAATAACTTAACTTACTTCCTTAATCTCCTCAAATAAGTCAATTGGGTCTTATAATTAGGACCGGAGGAGTATAATTTAATTTGTGCGGGTTTTTCTAGTCTGCATCTGGTCGTTTGAGTCAATCTAAAATTAGAATCTAAATGTAAAATAAGTAAAAATAAAAATAGTTTTTTTATTGAAAATTATAACGAAAAACTTAAAAAAAAAAAAAGTAAAAATATAGGATTTAACACGACATCTATGAAGATGGATAAATTTCATCATACTTTTTATCCAAAAAAAAAATTTCATCAAACCACTTTATAGAGATAAAATATAATTTGAGAACCAATATATATATAATCTAATTCTTTGAAACTTATCTTCGCCATATTTTAAAAACTTTGTTGCAATAATTAATTCATTAGATTTTATAGTTTTAAGTCTTAACTGACTTTTAATCGTATCTCTGTATTTTTTAATCCTTTTTTTTAATTTTTTATTAGGTCTTCACATCATTTTTTTTTCATCAAGTTCTTATAGATTGACACGATTTTTATTCAACTCTCTTCAATTTTAAGTAGCTGATTAAAAGTAAAGACAGGAGCTACTACAAGAAATTCATTAAAAAGTGTGTCAAACTATGAGAGTCTAATAAAAGTATTACAAGGAGATAATTAAAATGAGGTAAAACGATAGTGAGTTGATAAAATAAAAAAATTCAAATACTTGATTAAAAATTAGGTAAATACAGATTTATTATTTAGGAGATCACTCAAAAGGTGGCCAAAAAAAAAAACACTTGAAAAAAATGATTCCGTGGCTCTACAGATACCGCCTATAAATAGAGGCCGCGGGGAAAAGCCAGCCCGCTGGAGTGCTCGACAAGAAACACAGAGAGAAACAGTGAGAGAGAGAGAGAGAGAGAGAGTGAGAGAGAGTCGAAAAGTAATCGGGAGATTGAGAACGATAGGTCTAACATTTGACGGAAATACGAAGAGGCAGAATCGATCGCGAAGGTACGTCGGTTTTCTTATCAATTAAACGTTTGAACTCGCAATTAACACTGCCCCAAGTTATGTAAAACGAGAATACGTCCGTGATCACTTGCTAGGTTAATCTATTAGGATTATTTTGGTCGTTTGATGGCTTTTGAGATTACTTAGCAATTACAGGTTAATCCCAGCCACCCGAGCTCTCTGTGGCTACTGGCCGGCCAGGCAACGGGCAAACGCATAAAACGGCAGCCACACATGTTCATCGGACTTTTTTAGTTTTTTAAAGTTATATTCGTGTTTATTTTAACTAGATTTTCCGGAGTTTAGAAAGAAAAAAGTGAAGAAGTTTTTCGAACGGTTGTTTGTACATACGTCAAATTGTTATTATGGATGCAAACTTATTTCTTGGTGACGTTAACTTGTGTTTCAAGTAAGGACGTGTTTAAAATACCGTTGGCATTGTTGGTTGTTATGAATATGAATTACTATTGAATTATGAAAGATCGATGACTAGTTGGCTTGATATGTTCTGATTCCAATTTCTTTCTATAGTATGAATACAAGGGTAGCAAGGAGAAGTGAGGTTCCTTATAAGAGGGACACTTGCAATAATTGGGTTGCAGGGCGTCACACCAATAAGCCCTGCAGGTTTGTGGGCAGTGAGACTTCACTACCGTCCACCCCACGTAATACTGCTTATCAATGCAGGAGGAAGTCCCCTTACTCGGTTAACAAGTCTCGTAGCAATGAATTGCTTAACAAGCCTAAATCAGATGGCATAAGATCCTCTATTGCCAAAGGCAATTCACCTCAAATTTGTAAGTACTGGATCAATGGAAACTGCGTACATGGCGATGGTTGTTGGAACTTGCATTCCTGGTTTCAAGGCGATGGCCTTTCTGTGCTCACTAAGCTTCACCAACACAAGACGGTACATACTTAAAATCTATTTAATTACCGATAGCAATATGCTTGATCTTGTTTATTTTTTCCCTTTCTATTAATTTCTTCATCGGATTATGTTCTGGGTATTTGTCCTTTCCTTTTATAAACCAGCCTTTTGCTTGAGTACTAAACTTGAAATTATGACTACAGATTGTCACCGGAATTACACTTCCAGTTGGATCCGACAAACTTTTTTCTTGTAGCACTGATGGCACGCTTCGGGTCTGGGACTGTCATACTGGTCACTGTGTCAATGTAATAAATCTTGGTGATCAAGCAAGGTGTTTGATCAGTATGGGTTCGTGGGTTTTTGCTGGTATGCGGAATGCTATTAAGGTAAGCACTTGAACCTGTCCATGAGATGATTGCGTTTTGTGTGCCTTTCATCTTTTATGTGATTGAGTTAACTGGAAATTGATTGCGTGGTTGTGGTTGTTATGAAGGCATGGAACATTCAGTCGGCTGCGGAGATCATGCTTGATGGACCTAAGGGTCCTGTGCTTTCCATGGCTGTTTGCAACGATACACTTTTTGCTGGAGCCATGGTAATTGTTTGCTAATTGTTTTACTATGTTCTTTTACTAGTTAATATTATATGTTTTATATTTGATCTGATATGTTCTCTTCTTTATGATATGCATCTGGTCTTATTATGATCTCACCGTCTTCATATTATAGGATGGTGTTATTTATGTATGGAGACTCAGTTCTGAAGCAGATTTCCCATTTAAACCATGGGCAACGTTGAAGGGCCACACAAGAGCTGTTGTTTGCTTAACTGGTGGACCTGGGGACAGGTTGTACTCGGGTTCTGTGGATCATAGCATCAAGGTATGGCTGCAAATTAATGACAAGTTCCCTCTTTTAGGCTTAATAGTTGTTAACCCATGCAGAGGTCTGTTATGGATGTGTAATATCTTTGGGCTATATGATTAGGTTGGACAAATTTGATTTTCAGGTGATCTTCATGTAGGTTTTGAGTCACTGCTCTTATTGGGTTGTGATTTTACGTCTTTTTGTGTCATCAGTTTTTTTAAAATGAATTGCTAATAGCTGAATGATGTAGGGTGAAAACTCATTTAAAATTAAACTGAGAATACATTATATTTTGGGATTATATGTATTATATGAAATAGATCTTGCATTATTTGCCTAATTATATGTTTAATAAGAAAACCACCTGCATTAGTTAAGCATGCATGATTTCTTTTTATGCTTTCTATATATGCTGTTGTTGAAATTTGTTTGAGATGATTTATTGATTTCTTATTTTCTCAGGTTTGGGACCTCAACACATTACAATGTGCGATGACATTGAAAGGGCACACGGACATAGTGACATCCCTTATTTTCTGGGACCAATACTTATTCTCAAGTTCGTTAGACGGCACAGTGAAGCTTTGGGCTGCCACTCAAAAAGAAACTTTGGACGTAG